AGAGAATCATCCACCCTGCTCCATCAGCCCCCGTTTTCAAGGAGTGGCTTGTACAGAAAAGAGAAGCCGCTCGTTTCTCTTTTGGGACCATCTCGGATATCCGTGTTGAAAGAATGCTCACAATACTTGGTACTTGGCTTTGGGAGGGGGCAGTACTATTACCACAGTTGGTATTAGATTTATTTAATTTTAATTTTATTTTTTTGGAAGGTCACAGAGCTTCTAAGGGTGTCTCTGGCTGCCCAGCAGGCCTTAGGATTGCCAGTCCTTTTCCACAGGAATTTTTTTTTCATAGAATCATAGAATAGTGAAGTTGGAAGGGGCCTCCAAGGCCATCAGGAATACAAATCAAAGGATATCTGCCAAGTGGTTGTCTAAGTTTCTCTTGAAAGCCTCGAGTGTTTATTAGATTTTAACAACAGCCACCTCACCCTTCCACCTCCCTTGTCATTTTCCTGCCCCCCCCCGGTGTACTGCTCTCTATTTTTCTATATGTATTTAAAATAAAAACTTGCCACATTAGCCTGAGGATTTCTGGCTTGGGAGGCTCTCTTGCCGTTTTTGGTCACTAGCTTAAGATCTGTCACCGAAGCGACCACCATGAATTTGACCAAACTCTGGGAGGCCGTGGAAGACAGGAGGGCCTGGGCGTGCTCTGCTCCATGGGGTCACGAAGAGTTGGACATGACTTAACGACTAAACAACAACAACAGCTTAAGATGACCAGATGGAATGACCTGGACTTCATTAGATGGGGTCCACCCAGAAACCAGGCCAAAGAAATGGGGGCCAACACAATCTTTGTTGTTAGCCGCCCAGAGTGGTAGAATCTACTAGATGGGTGGGATACAAATCAAATAAATAAATAAAATAAACACCAGTCAAAAAAGACCAGAAGTTCTGGTCCCTTAAAGTCACCTTTAAAAGCTCTGAAAGACCCTGCAGGCACTTGTCTTCATGCCCCTGAATCAAGCCGGTCTCACCCCATGCAGCTCAGTCCTCAATATATTTACTTGGACATCAATCCTGTTGAGTTCATTTATGCATGTTGTTGTTGTTGTTGTTTAGCCGTTAAGTCATGTCTGACTCTTTGTGACCCCATGGACCAGAGCACGCCAGGCCCTCCTGTCTTCCACTGACTCCCAGAGCTGGGTCATTTATGTATGCCCCTATTTATTTTTAAAATGTAGATTTATGCATGCCCCTATTTATTTTTAAAATGTAGATTAGATTACACTTATTTTTGTCCTGCTTTTTTCCCCATCCCAAGGAGACCAAAAGCAGCTTTACAGAATTAAAAGAATAATTAGAATATGAACAAGGCCACCATTGTCCTGAAAGCAAATGAAGAGAAATTCAGCAGCAGTGAAAACCCAATGTAGAAGGGAAGATTTTAAAACGAGTGTGGCATAGCGACAGGAAATCCATCGAATCAAGGCATGTGGGGGGGGGCTGGGGTGCAGAGCCCACATTGAGCCTAGCAATGAAGAAAGGTGGAACAAGAAGTAGCAATCTTACTCTAAGCCATTTGGTCTCTGAGTAACCTTGGACTGCTGGTTCGGTTCGGGGACTGACCTACCTCGCAGGACTGTTGTGAGGAGAAAGTGGGGAAGAGGGACGGGGTAACAACCTCGTGGCCCCACCGCTTGCGCTTCCTCTCTCAGCTGTGGTTAAAAGACCAGCCGGGCTGCAGCTGTGCAGGGCCAGCCTTGCCCAGGAGTGCCAAGGAAGAAGAACCCCATTCACCACCGTCGAGCGGTGGAAACTTGGCTACGAAAACAAGCCAACGAGAGCCAACAACCAGGAAGAGCCACGCTTTGCGAAACCTATTCCCTGGACAAACAACCCAGGGCGGGATGGGTAGGGAAATAAGCAGAATGAAGCCATTCATGTCCAAACACACCAACTACTGTCTGTGGGACTTTCTGTATGGCCGGTGTTGACAGATCTTGGCTTCCAAGCAGACTTGGGAACTCAGGAAACCCCACCTCCCTCTGCAGTCTTGCTGTGGGTTTGTTCCTCTTGCCTGGTTTTGCCCTCTCCGACTGGCCCTACCAGCCCTCCAGGGCTTTAGGCAGGATCCTGCCCAGCACTGCCTGGGAACTGAACTCGGAACCCATGAGCGTGCAAAAAGGGCTTGGGTGTGTGGCTGGCACACTGAATGGGACGCCCTCTACACTGCAACCTTTTGTTGCAGGGCCCATTGCACTCGAGAGCAGCCATTCCATTTCTCCAGAGATTCAGCTCTCTGTAGGCAAAACAGCATCATGCGATCAGAGGTAACATCAACTGACAGGTGTTAGATACGCGATGTGGGGAGATACGTAAAATGCTGACCAACGGCTAAGGAAAACCAAGAGTGAGGGGCACAGGATGGAAGGGCCAAAAATATGAACAGGAATACTTTACACTGCAAAAGTTTATTGTTAAGTCTTGCCTAGTGGTGGACATGCAAATATTTGTGAAGCGGGGTTCAAAGTGTTATCAGATGGTTCAAATTCTTTTTTGTGTCATACACTCCTCTCCCTCTTTTCTTGCAGGAACTGTCTTTTTCCGTTGAAAAGAAAAAAAGAAAAGCCAGGTAAATCTCTCCCCCTCTCACTGCTCCCGGTGAGACACAGAACCCTTATCTGGAGCATCCTTGAATTTAGGTTATTTACCAAATGTTTGCAGACTTCCATAATATGGGGTCATTTCTTTTTCTGATCTTCCCCGGCCTTACGTATGCTAACGCAGTTTCCATCCAAGAACTTTGGAAAACAGTGTCATCTCTTGTCTGTGATGGAATTCTGGTTATCCTTATTTCTGCCTAATAGCAAACAGGACTTTTGCACTCAGCCTTCTTTGAGTATTCAAAATGAGGTAGAACTTGGGAATTTTTAAAAAAAGTTTTTGCATAACAACCTTCGCACCCTACACACACACACACACACACACACACACACACACCAAGGCAGCATGGAGAAATGTTCCTTTTTAATTAGCGAGACGCCATGCAAAAAAAAACAAAAAACAAAACAAACAAACACTTAAAAAGTTTTTGCATAACAACCTTTGCATTCTACACACACACACACTCACCCAGAGGCAGCATTGAGAAATGTTCCTTTTTAATTAGTGAGACGCTATGCAAAAAACAGCAACGGATCTTTTCTAAGCTCTGGAGAATTTGTGAAGGTCGGGAGAGGAAAGAATAAAGAAAGAAGGAAGGAAGGAAGATTCTGCAGCCAGAGATGATCCTTCTCAGATCCACATGGGAAGTTTTGTTTTTGTTTCTACACACCCCAGTTCTCATTTCAAGGTCTGAGGCTTCTCACAATCTCCTGGGTTTTACTTTCATCCATTTCCTGAGCAGAAAGTAGAAAGTCTGGTCAAATAAGCAGAGAAGGAGAGTCTGTAGAAAGAAGGTGGGTCTGCGTGCCACCTGTTTCTCTGTAAGAATGGAGAAACTGGATGGTCCGTGTGGAGCTGAAAGCATCCTTCTTAAAAACAAGCTGGAACCAGGAGCCACAATCAGAAAGGCTACCTGGCAGCTCCCAAGCCTTGCTAAATAAGCAGTGTGAGTAGGCAAATAAACAGAATGTGCTTGGGGCGTCTTGGACAGTTTGTGCTTCTCCTTGCTGATGTTCCCATGGATTCAGTGGTCCACACACACCCACACACCCAGTGCCTCCCCGAAAGCTTTCTGCCAAAGGAACAGACCTGGGCTTTCTCAAGGGAGGGAGGGAGGGTGGTTGTCATGCAATCCCTGTGGCTTCACTGGGTTAAACATTTCCAGAAGGCCTCCGTGTAAGAGTGCAGTGGTTGGCATGGAATCTCTTTAGCTACCAATGACCCCATTCTAGCCGAGGATCCATGCACAAACACAAATAGTCAATTGAAGACTATGACACGAAAGACCACCTTTTGGTGTAGTTCAATTGGCTATTGAAAGAACATGATTTTGGACACATATTTTCAGTCTCCCTTGTTTTAAGGGCAGAATCTGAGCCCAGTTTTGAGCTTTCGCAGTTTGTTGCGACTGTAGAAATCATTTATAGTTACATATATACAATAGCAAAACCCTGTTACTATTATGGGCAGCTTCGGATCGACCTAACAACAACAGACGTTACTTTCCCCCTGTTACCAGATCTTTCTTCTACAGGTACAAGAAATGGCAAGCCAGGTATGCAGCACCCGGAGAGTAAAAAGGTGAAACTCCTCCCCGAGACTTTCATGTTAAATTGCTTTCATTTTCAAAGGGCATGGGGTGGACAACTGACTCGAGGCCCTCTTACTAAGGGGCTAAAGTTTTGTTTTAATTCTCGAAGATTATACCGAGATGCTGTGCCTTTTTAGTTGACCGAATAGAGGCATCTTCACAACATGGATTTTGAGATTACTCTTGAATATTTATTCTTTATGTACTGTGTATGTATTCATACACTGTTTTCTTGCTACATAAGGAGAATGCTTTACTTGGTCTTATCCAAGAAGGTGCTGGTATAGCTTCGCCCTCGTGTTGCTGTGCCAGATGTTAGAAGAACACGTGAAGCTTTAGAAAGGAAATTTTGCAGTGGACCGTTTTCCATGTTAATTAATGGGAGGTGAATTGGGGTATATAGATTTTTCCATCTTGTCCAACAGCATAGCTAGAGCTGGCTCAGGTGGAAAGGATTTTATCTTCTTAATGCATGTATCTCTATCATCTTGTGAAGGGTTTTGATGTCACCCCGGTTTATGATGACGTGTCCGAATTCCCCGTCTACGCCACTGTGAGCAAACTGAAGCACATGAAGCATGATGACAGCACCGTACATTATGCGGACATCCAGGTTTTGAGCAAGACTCGCGAGCGTTCGGCGGCGGAGGTCAAGAACCTGCAGTCCCAGAACGCCACAGAATATGCCACCCTCAATTTTCCCCGGGCCACCTTGAAGTACGACAGCAAAAACGGGACTCTGGTGTAAACGCAGAAAGCTGTCTTGCCAATGCTTCTTCAACAGAAAGCTGACACACAGACTGAGATCTTGCACGTGAGGTCCACATATGGTTGGCTCTTTTTGGCCAGGAACATTCGCAAGGCCTTTATCTTCCATGTCATCTAGATGGAGAATGTAGTTTGAACGAGACTCAAAACTTTTCCTTGAGTGTGCCAAGAAAATGACCACGTGGGGCAAGATCATAATAGAGGTAGCAGAAAGAACCATCCTGTCTCAATATGGAGGTATTAAAAGGAGAGATCTGGCTCTAGGATGAACTGGACCCAGCGGGAGGCTATGAGTAAAGAAGACGGCAGTTTGTGAGAGTTTTATTTCTTTCCAGAATCAATCACTGGTGGTTTTCAATGCCACATGAAAGGTTTTTACTATCACAACGGGCAAGAGCTGGCAAGGAAGGAAAGGGTTGCATTTTTGAAAGTTAACCAAGTCCTAACATCTTCTAAAACATGACTGTCAGATATTTTGGGATAAAATTACCACAAGCAGTTTTGTTGGTCCTCTATCCTAGGCAGAAATAATTATATGTTTTCTCCCCTATTCACACCACTCTGTAGAACACCCAAGTGGTGACAGCGAAGTTTATTGTGTAATGTCAAGGTGTGTTTTATGACAGAAAGGTCAATGTGCACGGACTTTCCCACCCTTTTTCACATGCAGTCGGTTTGTCTTATGAGGTAAAACATTGCAAATTCCTACATCCTGAAAGCAGCTTATTCTTTAGGATAGGCTAAACAATCTATGGTACACTAAGGACTCTATAAACCTGTAGCTAGCAATCCTACAGCGGCTGTCCATTTTGCCCTTCCTGGTTGGTGGTATATTGTATTCAATAGATAATCAAATGGATGGCAGGGGAGGGTAAATATAATAAATATATAATAATACATATAATAAAATGGCTTGCCTGTTTAAAGGTACCAAGCAGATAAAATGTGAACATGTGATGCATGTTGAAAAGATTTACTGGAAGAATTTATTTTTCTCATTTTCACTGAATTGTATAGCTCATGGAGAAAATATCTTCTAAATGTCTTGTGCCCATTTATTTGACAAATGGAAATGATGCCAGACCAGAAACTTGCCATTCTGAAATGGAGTCCCCCTCAAGGGTGTTTGTCAGGCATATGTGCCAGAATTTTGATAATCTCAAACTCCACTTTTAATAGTATCAGCTTCCAGTCCTCAAGGTAGCAGAAGGAACAATTAATTATTCAAAAATGAGGAGATAAAGCTGCACTTTCCAAAATCTTGCTATTTTTAAGTTGATGCTGTGACTTTAAGAGGGTTTTGAAAAATGGAGCTCAAGGATTGGAAAACAGATCTCTTTTTACCAGTAGTTGGTGAGAAGGCATAGTACTGTACTGGTTATTTGATGCAAAGAAAATGATGTATAGTTGTAAAAACTGGACTATGAAAACTTCCAACACAATGCCTTTTCAGTGGCTTTTTTCCAAGGCATTTTTGTAGAAGAAACAGGGAAGAAATGGGGTGGGGGAGAAAACTCATCCCCCAAGCCCAGCAAAAGTTACTGGGCATTTGGAAAAATGGATTACATCGTTTGATGGTCCTCTCTAAACTCTGTGATAAATGTATGAGGATCAAATCTTTTCTGGAACTTAAGAATGTATTTTGGTCATCGTTGCTCTTGCTTACGTTTACCTTCATTGAATAATAAACATTGAGCTTGAGGGTCGTTAAATGAACTGCGTGACTTTAGCGAAATGCATGGCGGCAGTTCTGAACTAGGAGGTTGTTACTTAGTTAAATATTATATGAAGGAAAGCTATTCTGGCTTATTTTAAGCAAACGCAAACCTAACAAGTGAAGAAATCTTTGTAAAGATCTTGAAATGTTCTTATTTTAATATAATGATTTGCCTTAAAGACAGTATAATAAAAAGAACTGCTAGGTACTGTAGCTCAGTGGTTTATGCGTCTGGCTATGGAGCCAGAGGTTGGGGGTTTGATTCCCCCTCTGGGCCTCCTTGATAGGAGCTGGACTCAGATGGCCCTTAAGGTCCCTTCCAGCTCTGCTGGAAATAAAACATTATAAAAGGGAGATTTCTGGAAAGTACTTCTGTCTCTGAAAGATTTTCTCTCTTTCTCTCTCAGTGTTTGATTAATTGTGCATGAAATTGTGGGAATTAGATAAGAAAAAGTTTTATGGCTCCTGGTGTCAGGGGTTGCAAATGTAAATTTTGTAAATAAATATTTTTTATAGTTAACACTAGAGGTTGTGCTGGTTTATGTGGTGGTGGGGGGAGAACTTAGATTGGACACCCAGTTACGCAGAGGGCATCATCATCTCACAGAGGACCACCTTGTGATAGACCTTGGAAATCAAGGATGGGTCTTTGCAAGGTATAAGACATGGCTTCTTGAATTCTTGAACCACTTGCTGCTGAACCGCTAGCATTTCGATAACTCTCTGGGTTCTGGTTCCAGCCTAAACATTATCGGCTGACTTCACAAACATGGTGGCCACTTCCATACCACTGGAAAAGGGGGAAATCTGTTTATCATCAGAAGGAAAGCGGTCCAAAGAGGACACTGATTGGCATTAAATGCATATGCTTACGTATAGGTAATCCTAGGATACAATCCCAAAACAAGGACTCTTGTTTCCAGCCATATAGAAGCTGAGGGTTTAGAAGAAGTACGATCATTAAGGATGTCTGCTTCTTATAAGGAGATGCATTTGATGTAGCAGCAACCCGACAGCCTCTTGTGTGTGGCCTGCTTCAGCTGCACAAAACAGGGGCTCCAGACAACTTGCTAATGTGTGTGCTGCCTTCCTCTGGGCAGAGTGCAGAAGACAGCTGATTTATTTTAATTTTTAAAAAATAAATACTGCACAAGGGTCGCCAACTTGGCACATAGCTTCCCATTTCTTGCATTTTCAACAGCAAAACATGAGGCAAGGGAAATTGAGCAGAGAGAGGGAATCTATGGGGTTCCAGAAGATGCTGCACTCCATCATCTTCCCGCCACCCCAAAGCATGGCCAATGGTTTGGATTTAATAGTACCCCAGCTTTTGATGAACCAACCCAATTTTTTTTTCCAAATTTATTGTAGAGATAAGGAGATTTTCTGTTAAGAACATTCTTGTTAAAGAACGCTTTTTTTTCCTGAGGATAATCTGCCGTTCTTGTCATTTTTTTCTTTTAATTTGCTCTGCTCTCATCTTCTAACTTTCAGCTTTCCTTTCCCACCCCTAAAGAAATTGAGACTATTATTTGTTTATTATCCATGTTTATAAAACAAACCCTCCTGGCATGGACTCAGCACATTAACAGAGGTCACGTGATTTAAAATATATGCAATGCTAATAATTTGATTTGAGCATTTCTCAACACTGCTTCTTTTCTTGTGCACCTTCATATGCAGAAAAAAAAGGGAGAGATTTCAGGGGTTATACTATGGGTGGTTGCAAGAGAAAAAAGAGGACAGACCCACATATCTTTAGTAATTATCTGGCGGAGGAAATTTCAGTAAGTATTATGCACCTATTATAAGTATCTATTAAAGCTACAACACCCCAGTTGTCTTTTTCATGTGGCCGTCCTGCATTTTATGTTTCGCATCCTTCTCTCTCAGCTTTTCTGTTTTCTATCTCATTCTTGAGATTCTCTTTGCTTTGGCCCTTTTCTTTCCTGTTCCTGGTTCATTCTTTCTCTCTCTCACATCTTCTACAAATGTTCCCTGAAACTCAGTCATGGGGTGTGTGCTTTTTCAGATTGTGATCCTGCAAGACGGAACATGTGGTCCTCCCAAATCATCCTATAACATCCATGCCTATTAGATACTTTGTAAATCAGACATAACATCATGACGATAATAACAATGTTACTGGAGGAAAAGTTTATATTTATATTAAATCCAGTGGAGTCCACCCCAGGGCTCCAATCCTGCCTACTGCCCACCACAGGCTAAAGTGCCTTCTGCCAAGAGAAATGTTACTCTCTTTTTTGGACAACTCTTAGAATATCCACTGGACACCTTTGGCTAGGCTTATTGGGCACTATCGTCCATTTGCCCACCTGCTTCCTTTCCAAACCCTGCTTCCTCTCCACCATCCCCAATGGGCACCAGCTCATTTTGCCCAGCCTCCTCGCAAGGTGACCGACACCTGTGCACATCAACTGGGCAAGTGCGTTTGACCCAGGCTAGAATCTTGATAATGTTTTATAGGCTGGATTTTATTTTATATTTGTAAGGATGGCCTCTATTTGATGATATTGGGAACCATCCAGAGTAATTTGACTTAAGACGGGTGGTATACTAAATAAATAAACAAACATACAAATAAATAATAGCCCCAACTACAGTAGAACCCTTGAATCCATGGGGTCTGGCTAAGCATCGCCCTGTCATTCACACACCGAAATAGTCCCAACTGCAGTAGAACCCTTGAATCCATGGGGTCTGCCTAAGCATCGCCCTGTCATTCACACACCGATTCAAGGGCTTTAACGCTAGTTGAGGCCACAAATAGATTGGGATATAGTGTGGGCATAAATGAACCCTCCCCTTCTTTTTCCACTTTTTTTTTTTATTGCCGCTGCAACCTCTCTCTGTCTGCCCACGTTGGCTTCAGAGAAGGCATTGAAGCATACATGCATAGGATCATGTGAATCTGACAGAAGTAAAGGGCACAACGAAATCAAATCGAAATGCAAAAACGGGCGATACCTGTATTAGACCACACACGCACAAAAAAATCATGCAAAGGCTTGCTTCTTGTGTGGTAACTTTTTTTTTTAGTCATCTGTAGAAGCATGGCCTACTTTTGCATTTGGGTCTGAGCTATGAATTTGGGGGTGGTGGTTTTTAAAACCCCAAGGCAAGGGGGTTAAGCAGAAAAGTAATAAACAATTCAAGAAATACTAATCTTGAAAAGGAAAAAAAAAGAGATTAAAAAGTGAATGCAGGCTAGAAGTTTAGTGCAGG